ATCTTCTGCGTAGCCGGAGGTGTTTTATTTGGGCTGCGGTGCCCTAAGAGATGTTAACCACCTCGCCTGGTATACAGGAGGTCTGTGTCTCTCTCTCTCATCATCATCATCACGGTGGCTATGAGATGTTAACCACCTCGCCTGGTATACAGGAGGTCTGTGTCTCTCTCTCTCATCATCATCATCATCATCACGGTAGCTAGGAGATGTTAACCACCTCGCCTGGTATACAGGATGTCTGTGTCTCTCTCTCTCTCATCATCATCATCACGGTAGCTAGGAGATGTTAACCACCTCGCCTGGTATACAGGATGTCTGTGTCTCTCTCTCATAATCATCATCACGATAGCTAGGAGATGTTAACTACCTCGCCTGGTACACAGGAGGTTTGTGTCTCTCTCTCATGATCATAATCACGGTGCCCTAGGAGATGTTAACCACCTCGCCTGGTATACAGGAGGTCTGTGTCTCTCTCTCTCATCATCATCATCACGGTAGCTAGGAGATGTTAACTACCTCGCCTGGTATACAGGAGGTCTGTGTCTCTCTATCTCATCATCATCATCACGGTAGCTAGAAGATGTTAACCACCTCGCCTGGTATACAGGAGGTCTGTGTGTCTCTCTCATCATCATCATCATCATCACGGTAGCTAGGAGATGTTAACCACCTCGCCTGGTATACAGGAGGTCTGTGTCTCTCTCATCATCATCATCATCACGGTGCCCTAGGAGATGTTAACCACCTCGCCTGGTATACACGAGGTCTGTGTCTCTCATCATCATCATCACGGTAGCTAGGAGATGTTAACCACCTCGCCTGGTATACAGGAGGTCTGTGTCTCTCTCATCATCATCACCATCACGGTAGCTAGGAGATGTTAATCACCTCGCCTGGTATACAGGAGGTCTGTGTCTCATCATCATCATCATCACGGTGCCCTATGAGATGTTAACCACCTCGCCTGGTATACAGGAGGTCTGTGTCTCTCATCATCATCACGGTAGCTAGGAGATGTTAACCACCTCGCCTGGTATACAGGAGGTCTGTGTCTCTCTCTCATCATCATCACGGTACCTAGGAGATGTTAACTACCTTGCCTGGTATACAGGAGGTCTGTGTCTCTCTCTCATCATCATCATCACGGTGTCCTAGGAGATGTTAATCACCTCGCCTGGTATACAGGAGGTCGTGGGTTCGATCCCCACCTTGACGATGCCTGTAGTACAGTGAGGGAAAAAAAGTATTTCATCCCCTGCTTATTTTGTACGTTTGCCAGTGAGACAGAATAACAACAACAAAATCCAGAAAAACGCGTGTCAAAAATGTTATAAGTTGATTTGCATTTTAATGAGGGAAATAAGTTTTTGACCCCCTCTCAATCAGATTTCTGGCTCCCAGATGTCTTTTATACAGATAACGAGCTGAGATTAGGAGCACACTCTTAAAGGGAGTGCTCCTAATCTCAGCTTGTTACCTGTATAAAAGACACCTGTCCACAGAAGCAATCAATCAGATTCAAAACACTCCACCATGGCCAAGACCAAAGAGCTCTCCAAGGAAGTCAGGGACAAGATTGTAGACCTACACAAGGCTGGAATGGGCAACAAGATAATTGCCAAGCAGCTTGGTGAGAAGGTGACAACAGTTGGTGCGATTATTCGCAAATGGAAGAAACACAAAAGAACTGTCAATCTCCCTCGGCCTGGGGCTCCATGCAAGAGCTCACCTTGTGGAGTTGCAATGATCATGAGAACGGTGAGGAATCAGCCCAGAACTACACTGGAGGATATTGTCAATGATCTCAAGGCAGCTGGGACCATAGTCACCAAGAAAACAATTGGTAACACACTACACCGTGAAGGACTGAAATCCTGCAGCACCCGCAAGGTCCCCCTACTCAAGAAAGCACATATACATGCCCGTCTAAAGTTTGCCAATGAACATCTGAATGATTCAGAGGACAACTGGGTGGAAGTGTTGTGGTCAGATGAGACCAAAATGGAGCTCTTTGGCATCAACTCAACTCGCCGTGTTTGGAGGAGGAGGAATGCTGCCTATGACCCCAAGAACACCATCCCCACCGTCAAACATGGAGGTGGAAACATTATGTTTTGGGGGTGTTTTTCTGCTAAGGGAACAGGAAAACTTCACCGCATCAAAGGGACGATGGACGGGGCCATGTACCGTCAAATCTTGGGTGAGAACCTCCCCTCAGCCAGGGCATTGAAAATGGGTCGTGGATGGGTATTCCAGCATGACAATGACCCAAAACACACGGCCAAGGCAACAAAGGAGTGGCTCAAGAAGAAGCACATTAAGGTCCTTGAGTGGCCTAGCCAGTCTCCAGACCTTAATCCCATAGAAAATCTGTGGAGGGAGCTGACGGTTCGAGTTGCCAAACGTCAGCCTCGAAACCTTAATGACTTGGAGAAGATCTGCAAAGAGGAGTGGGACAAAATCCCTCCTGAGATGTGTGCAAACCTGGTGGCCAACTACAAGAAACGTCTGACCTCTGTGATTGCCAACAAGGGTTTTGCCACCAAGTATTAAGTCATGTTTTGCAGAGGGGTCAAATACTTATTTCTCTCATTAAAATGCAAATCAATTTATAACATTTTTGACATGCGTTTTTCTGGATTTTGTTGTTGTTATTCTGTCTCTCACTGTTCAAATAAACCTACCTTTAAAATTATAGACTGATCATTTATTTGTCAATGGGCAAACGTACAAAATCAGCAGGGGATCAAATACTTTTTTTTCTCACTGTATATTTGGAGTTTGTGTGTCTCTCTATTATCATCATCATCACGGTGCCCTAGGAGATGTTAACCACCTCGCATGGTATACAGGAGGTCGTGGGTTCGATCCCCGCCCTGACGATGCCTGCTGCTGCTGCTATATATTTGGAGTTTGTGTGTCTCTCTCATCATCATCACGGTGGCTATGAGATGTTAACCACCTCGCCTGGTGTACAGGAGGTCGTGGGTTCGATCCCCACCCTGACGATGCCTGCTGCTGTATATTTGGATATTGCGTGTTTCTCTCTCATCATCATCATCACGGTGGCTATGAGATGTTAACTACCTCGCCTGGTATACAGGAGGTCTGTGTCTCTCTCATCATCATCACGGTGACTAAGAGATGTTAACTACCTCGCCTGGTGTACAGGAGGTCGTGGGTTCGATCCCCACCCTGACGATGCCTGCTGCTGCTGCTGTATATTTGGAGTTTGTGTTTCTCTCTCCCCGTGGTCACTGCGTGGATTTTGTCTCCGGGTCTTCCTCCCGTTTTCCCCTCCACATTTTGAATCGCCATCACCACGCGTTTCGAGTTCTTTTGCCCGCTGCTCGAAAATGTCCACGTGACGATGACGACGATGACGACGATGATGACGACGATGACGACGACGATGATGACGATGATGACGACGATGATGACGACGATGACGACGACGATGATGACGATGATGACGATGATGACGATGATGATGACGATTATCCCACTGGGTTGAGTTGCTATTGTGACGTGTGATAGCCAGGCTCCCCTTCTGAAACAGAGCTACACAACTCAGTTGGGGAGCCTTAGACCTTGTAAAATATATATTTTTAAAAATATGTTTTTTGTTTAGTTTGTGACTTCTTGTGTACTCCGTTTCGCTATCCAATCATCGTCATCATCATCAGGCTTGAAGTATCGAGTCGAGAGGCTCTCGACAGATGCCTTGTACTCTTTAACGCTTAGTAGTAATAATAGTAGGAGGATTTCGCGACCAATATAATCCATAATAGAGGGTTTATTTTGGGGTAAGATCGCCTAAATATATGTGTCGCTAAAAACGCGCCACCACGCGACACAGACAATGAATAAGGTCTGTGTCACGTGAACAAAACGTGCCAATTGTTTCGTAGTTCAGCACTACAGCGGTTGTGTGTTGGAGAGTGAACCCACTACGACATTTACAATGAAGAGAATGAGTTTTTTTTTCCATTTTTTCTGGCAACCAAACAGCTGTGTTAAGATGTTAAACTCTGATAATATCTGCATTGTCCTTGAAACTCTTTCAAGAGTTTGTTTTTTTGTCTGCATTGTCAACAAAACAGGTGGTTAATGCAGACATGATTCCTTGTAAAAAGGTTTCGGTTTGGTGTTTTAACGTCTTAGCACGGCTGTTTTGTTGACAGAAAAAAGGGGAAAATAAAACCTATGATCATATTTTGGTACTGGCGAAGGAGGTCTCATGATGTAGGGTAAAGCCTATCGGATTTTTTTTTCATCAACATAGGATGTATTGAAACAAAAATATATATGCTCTTTGGTTCTATTCGGTAAAGTCACGTAGGTAGAAAATAAAACAACAAAAATCACGACGTTTTGGCCACAACACAAGTAGCCTTCTTCAGGTGAAGGAACAGAACTGTCGGGACGACAGAGCTTCAATGAACTGTTTTGTTGCCAGAAAAAAATGGAAATGAAGCTCTGTCGTCCCGACAGTTCTGTTCCTTCACCTGAAGAAGGCTACTTGTGTTGTGGCCGAAACGTCGTGATTTTTGTTGTTTTATTTTTTTACCTACGTGACTTTACCGAATAGAACCAAAGGAGTATGGATCCTTGCAGTCACGAAAGCTTCAAATCTAAAAAATATATATTTATTGATGATGATGATGCCTTGCATGTGTCTGTCTGAATATCACCTCATGTACTCTTGCCGGAAAGGAGTTTAAAAATCTGTAAAATGTGGTCAACATGACTGAGACCGTGCCATCGGCAAACATCGCATCACCGTCTGTGTGCGATGCCCGGAGTGAGTGATACAAAGGCACCTTGCTACATTCCTGTTCACAATAGAGGTTGTTTTATTGTTGTTGTTGTTGGGTTAGATCGTGTAAATATAAATGTGCCATGAAACCCGCCACCACACGACACAGGCAAATTAGTTAAGGCTTGTCACGTAAACAGAACGTGCCAATTCGAGTCCAGCACCACCGGTGTATTGGAGAGTAAATCCACAACATTTACAATCTGAGTATGAGATTTCGCCAGTAATTACAACGAGCATCATTTTTGTTGTTGTGGACAATCAATGACCGTCGGTAATAAATCTTCAGTTAGATCACGAATCCTTTAATCGGAGGTTTACATTTTTTTATCGAATTGCTGTTTAGTTAAAAGGAGTTCTGGAGCTACTTTTGCCGGTGAGTATACAGCTCGTGGGACGATTGGTAGTGCCCTGTGTGGGCGTGGCCTAACTCTGAGTGGGCGTGGCCTAACCCAGTGTGGGCGTTGCCTGACCCAGTGCGGGAGTGGCCTCGCCCAATGTGGGAATGATCTCAACTCTTGTGGGCGTGGCTTAGTCCCTTGTGAGCATGACCTAACCCCACGTGAGCGTGACCTGACCCAGTTTGGGCGTGGCCTAACCCAGTGTAGGCGTGGCCTGATCCCCATTCAGTCGAACGACCAGACACCTTGTGGGCATGGCCTGATCCTAAGTCGACAAGGCCCGATCCTAACCGGACATAGCTTAACTGTGTCAGCTTGCCCAGTTCCTTGTAGGCATGGTCCGATTTAATGTGCGCATGGTCCACATTTACATGGGCGTGGCCTGACGCTACATGGGCGTGGCCTAATCCTACGTGGGTGTGACCTGACCCTGCGTGGGTGTGACCTGATCCTATGTGGGCGTGGCCTGACCCTACATGGGCTTTGGCTGATCCTACATGGGCATGGCCTGACCCAAGTTGGGCATGGCCTGACTCTTTATAGGCGTGGCCTGACCCAAGTTGGGTGTGGCCTGACCCAACTTGGGCGTGGCATGATCCTACATGGGCGTGGCCTGATCCTACATGGGCTTTGGCTGACCCAAGATGGGCATGGCCTGACTCTTTATAGGCATGGCCTAACCCTACGTGGGCGTGGCCTGATCCTGCGTGAGTGTGACCTGATCCTATGTGGGCGTGACCTGACCCTACATGGGCTTTGGCTGACCCTACATGGGCGTGGCCTGACCCAAATTGGTTGTGGCCTGACCCAAGTTGGGCGTGGCCTGGTCCTACATCGGTTTTGCCTGACCCTACATGGGCGTGGCCTGACCCAAGTTGGGCGTGGCCTGACCCTACATGGGTGTGGCCTGACCCAAGTTGGGCATGGCCTGACCCAAGTTGGGCATGGCCTGATCCTACATGGGCGTGGCCTGACCCTACATGGGCGTGACCTGACCCTACATGGGGTTTGGTTGATCCAAGCAGGGTGTGGCCTGACCCTAGATAGGCATAGCCTGACCCAAGTTGGCTGTGGCCTGACCCTAGATAGGCATGGCCGGACCCAAGTTGGCCGTGGCCTGACCCTAGATAGGCATGGCCGGACCCAAGTTGGCCGTGGCCTGACCCTAGATAGGCGTGGCCGGACCCAAGTTGGCCGTGGACTGACCCTAGATAGGCGTGGCCGGACCCTAGTTGGCCGTGGCCTGATTCTACATGGGTATGCCCCGACCCCAACCCCACATGGGCAAGTCCCGACCCCTGACGTAGACCCAGGCTCGACCCTAGGTGCCCGTGCCGGTACCCGATCCACCCTCCCTGGGACCAACCCAGCTGTGGGTGACCAACTCCGGCACCGCACCAGCCCACTGACTGCCGTCGACCGTAGGCTAGGCCTTCCCTGCCGCCGCAGCCGGCGTTTGCGAAATACGCCGGTCTGGCGTAGTGGAACCCGGACACTCCGAGACCCCTCGAAGCGCCGACGTGGGCCGGATGAGCCTTCGGCGCTTGCAGCGGCATCGCTCCGGCCGACGTCCGGCGATTGCCAGCGTAGCCCGTGGCCCGCGCGCAGTGGCGCCCCAGGGTCCCACCGTCGTCCGACGCCGTTTTGTAGGAGGGCGAGTCGGCGGGCGCCGGTCGCGGGCCCTGCGCGCCCCGCGCCACTTTGTTGAGGCCCAGGGCCTCGTACAGATCTAAGGGGGCGGCCGCGGCGGTCGCGGTGGCCGCGCCGGCGCCGGCGGTGGGGTGCGTCAGGTAGTTGGGCGCGAGTGGCAGGATGCTGCCGCAGATCGTCGACACGACGCCGCCGTCCGGGCGCTGGTCGTGGTCGGCGGGTTTTGCTTCGTCACCGCTGGAGCACGCCGCCAGCGGCGCCGCGGCGGCGCCGGCGGCCGCGGCCGCGTCGGCGGGACAGCACGGGGCTGCCGCCGCCGCCGCCGTGGAATGAGACGGCAGCGGGAACGAGCGCTCATTCCACGTGGGGCATTCGTCGTGGCGGTGCCGAGATTGTCGGTGGTGGCGGCAGCCGAGGCATCCGCGGCCGTGAAACTCTCCGACGCGGCAGCGCTCGTCGTGGTGGTGGTGGTGGTGGTGCCGCTGCCACCACCCGCGGACGCCCGGGCCGTCGAGCGGCGTCGCGGCCCGTCCGCGGCAGGCCGTCACGGCCGGCAGACAGCCGCGATGCTCCCCGGCGTGACCTCCGGCGTGACCTCCGGCGTGACCTCCGGCGTGACCTCCGTGTTGGTGTCGGCAGGAGGAGCAGCAGCAGGGGGAGGAGGGGGCGGGACAGCAGCAGGATCCCGGCTCCTCCCCCACCGCCACCCCGACGACTTTGGGCCTCGAGCTATGTTCGGGCGTCTCGTCGGGGCAGCAGCCAGAGCAGCAGGAACCCCGCGGCGTTGGGGGCAGCACCTCGACGCGGAGGCCGGCGCCGTCGGCGCCGTCGGCGCCGCCCTCCGCCGCGTTCTCACCGGCACCGGGCAAGCGCCCGGGGTCAGGCGAAGGCCCGCGGCCGCCGTCGCCGTCACCCCCGGCCTCGCGCCGCAGCGTGACGGAGGCGTCGGGCGGGCCGCCGGGGCCGCCGCCGGAGCCGCCGCCGGAGCCGCCGACGCCGACACCGAAGTCGTCGTCGGCCGCCCGTCCCAGTTCGAAGGGCTCGCGGTTGATCTCGAGCAGGACCGGGTAGGCCGTGGCGACGTGCGGCCCCTTGCGGTGCACGATCACGTGGCAGTGGTAGACGTCGATGTCGACTGGCGTGGTGGTGGAGTGGCCCTCGCACAGCAGGAAGCAGATGGTGTAGAGCGCCAGCTCGAACTCGGGGCTGGTGCCGATGAAGGAGCCGCCGATCGGCTTGACGAGGCCCTTCCAGGTGAACTGCACCGCGATCAGCTGGTCCTCCTCGTCGGGCTGGGAGGGAGGGAGGGAGGGAGGGAGGGAGGGAGGGAGGGAGGGAGGGAGGGAGGGAGGGAGGGAGGGAGGGAGGGAGGGAGGGAGGGAGGGAGGGAGGGAGGGAGGGAGGGAGGGAGGGAGGGAGGGAGGGAGGGAGGGAGGGAGGGAGGGAGGGAGGGATCTTAACGAAGTGAGTGGCTTATCACCACCATCACCACCACCACCATCACCACCATCATCATCACCATCATCACCACCATCATCACCACCATCACCACCACCATCATCACCACCATCACCACCACCACCATCATCACCACCACCATCATCACCACCACCACCACCATCACCACCACCACCACCATCATCACCACCACCATCATCACCACCACCATCATCACCACCACCATCACCAGCACCATCACCACCACCACCACCATCATCACCACCACCATCATCATCACCACCACCACCACCATCATCACCACCACCATCACCACCATCATCACCACCACCATCATCACCACCACCATCACCACCATCATCACCACCACCATCATCACCACCACCATCATCACCACCACCATCATCACCACCATCATCACCACCATCATCACCACCACCACCACCACCATCATCACCACCACCATCATCACCACCACCATAACCAGCACCATCACCACCACCATCATCACCACCACCATCATCATCACCACCACCACCACCATCATCACCACCACCATCACCACCACCATCACCACCACCATCATCACCACCACCATCATCACCACCACCATCACCACCATCATCACCACCACCATCATCACCACCATCATCACCACCATCATCACCACCACCACCATCATCACCACCACCACCACCACCATCATCACCACCACCATCATCATCACCACCACCATAACCAGCACCATCACCACCACCATCATCACCACCACCATCATCATCACCACCACCACCACCATCATCACCACCACCATCACCACCACCATCACCACCACCATCATCACCATCATCACCACCACCATCATCACCACCACCATCACCACCATCATCATCATCACCACCATCATCATCACCAACATCATCATCGCCGCGTGGGAAATTTATAGCAGCGGCCACATCCACGCGACCACCACGGGGAGAGAGAGACTCCAAATATAGAGCAGCAGGCGTTGTCAGGGTCAGGGGATTGTTGTGGTTGTTGTGGTGATTGTTGTTGTGGTTGTTGTGGTGGTTGTTGTTGTGGTTGTTGTGATTGTTGTGGTTGTTGGTTGGTGTGATTGTTGTTGTGATTGTTGTTATGATTGTTGTGGTTGCTGGTTGTTGTGGTTGTTGTTGCGATTGTTGTTGTGATTGTTGCTGTCGTGATTGTTGTGATTGTTGGTCGTTGTGGTTGTTGTGGTTCTTGCTGTGATTGTTGTTGTGGTTGTTGTTGTGATTGTTGCTGTCGTGATTGTTGTGATTGTTGGTCGTTGTGGTTGTTGTGGTTCTTGTGGTTGTTGTTGTGATTGTTGTTGTGATTGTTGTTAATTATGATTGTTGTGATTGTTGGTCGTTGTGGTTCTTGTTGTGGTTGTTGTTGTGATTGTTGCTGTCGTGATTGTTGCTGTCGTGATTATTGTGATTGTTGGTTGTTGTGGTTGTTGTGGTTGTTGTGATTGTTGTTGTGGTTGTTGTTGTGGTTGTTGTTGTGATTGTTGTTGTGGTTCTTGCTGTGATTGTTGTTGTGATTGTTGTTGTGGTTGTTGTTGTGATTGTTGTTGTGGTTGTTGTGATTGTTGTTGTGGTTGTTGTTGTGGTTGTTGTTGTGATTGTTGTTGTGGTTCTTGCTGTGATTGTTGTTGTGATTGTTGTTGTGGTTGTTGTTGTGATTGTTGTTGTGGTTGTTGTTGTGATTGTTGTTGTGGTTGTTGTTGTGATTGTTGTTGTGGTTGTTGTTGTAGTTGTTGTGATTGTTGTGGTTGTTGTTGTGATTGTTGTTGTGGTTGTTGTTGTGATTGTTGCTGTGATTGTTGTTGTAATTGTTGTTGTGGTTGTTGTTGTGATTGTTGCTGTCGTGATTGTTGGTCGTTGTGGTTGTTGTGGTTCTTGTGATTGTTGTGGTTCTTGCTGCGATTGTTGTGGTTCTTGTGATTGTTGTTGTGGTTGTTGTGATTGTTGTTGTGATTGTTGTCGTGATTGTTGTTGTGATTGTTGTTGTGATTGTTGTTGTGATTGTTGTTGTGGTTGTGATTGTTGTTGTTGCCGTTGTGGTTGTTGCGGCGTTCACCTTTGCGCAGCGCTTGCGCTTGGAGACGTAACCGTGGTAGTCGACAGCGCCACGCTTCTCCTGCAGGTAGAACTGCAGCCAGTTGTGGAAGCCTGTGACGTCACGGCGACGCGTCTCGCCCACGAACACGTGCTCGAAGCCGCACGAGTCCGGCCTGGGGGCGCCGCAGAGCCGACGACGATTCAACTCGGACCCACCGCTAATTCATCTCACTGGCGCTGCTGCTGGTGCTGGTGCTGATGGTGGTGGTGGTGGTGCTGGTGGTGATGGTGGTGGTGGTGGTGCTGGTGGTGGTGGTAATGGTGGTGGTGGTGCTGGTGGTGCTGATGGTGGTGGTGCTGATGGTGGTGCTGCTGGTGGTGGTGGTGCTGATGGTGATGATGCTGATGATGCTGCTGCTACTGCTGCTGCTGTTGTTGCTACTGCTGCTGTTGATGATGCTGTTGTTGCTATTGCTGCTGTTCCTGCTACTGCTGCTGCTGCTGCTGATGATGCTGCTGCTACTGCTGCTGATGATGCTGCTGCTACTGCTGCTGATGATGCTGCTGCTACTAATGATGCTGCTGCTGTTGTTGCTATTGCTGCTGATGATGCTGTTGTTGCTGTTGTTGCTGCTGATGATGCTGCTGCTGTTGTTGCTACTGCTGCTGATGATGCTGCTGCTACTGGTGCTGTTGTTGTTGCTACTGCTGCTGATGATGCTGTTGTTGCTATTGCTGCTGTTGCTGCTACTGCTGCTGATGATGATGCTGTTGTTGATATTGCTGCTGATGATGATGCTGCTGCTGTTGATGATGCTATTGATGATGCTACTGTTGATTATGCTGCTCTTGGTGATGCTGTTGCTATTGCTGTTGATGCTACTGCTGTTTGTGATGCTATCACTATTGCTGTTGCCGCTGTTACTGTTGCCGTTGCAAATGTATACAACGATTCTTCTTAGCGATGAGTGTAATAATGGCTTTTTTGTTGTCTGTTGTTGAACCGTAAACACATTTTGACAACACTCACCACATGGGCATTTAAACGCAGTGCGTCGGTTATGTTCCGACTTACGAATGGCTCGACTTACGAACAGCTCGAGTTACGAACGGCTCTACTTACGGACGGCTTGAGTTATGAACGGCTCGACTTACGAACGGCTCTACTTACGAACGGCTCGACTTACGAACGGGCCTCCTTGGGGGGCACGAAGTGTGTTCGTAAGTCGAGGACCCACAAATGCATGTTGTGCTTTACGATTTGGGCAACTCACTCGGTTTTATCGCTCCTGCTGTAGAGCTCGAACCAGATCTGGAATAACTGCTTCTTGAAGGCGTCCGTGTCGGGTGAGGAACAGCCCTTTGAGACGAGATACTTGTGTGCGATCTGTGACAAAGGACACAGACAAAGATCCCCCGGTATAGCCTTCGACAAACTGTGTTGGGGCAAGTGCTGTTAGCGAGTACCTATTTGTGACACAGAACAACAACAACAACCGCCATTTGCCACTAAGTTGCGATGACATCATCACGGCGCTTGTGCCAGGCCATGCGCACGTTAAGGCCACGTGAAGTGTCGAACCCCCGCTGGCAGGAGGTCACGGGACAGACCCCGGTGCTGCCATAGGGTGACTGACCGATAAGACTGGCAGAGGGCTCACCTGTGCCCCCTACTATGCCAACTTGTTGTTGTGAGCGTCGCTCATCTGCCCTTCGTTGTTGCTGGAGGCCGATCTTGGCACCGCTGGTACCAGTTATTGGCAAGTCCATTCAGCAAGTCCATGTCCTATCGCACCTCATCATTCTATCCCTTATCCAGCCCGTGCTGTGCCCGTTTAACCCCCTCTATCCGGCCAAACAAAAGCTGCTTGGGCATGCGATGGCTGGGCATGCGGTGGATGGGCATGCAGGCTACGTCACCCAGCCAATGCAGCTGTGGATGCCAGAGGAGCACACCGATGGGACTGTGTCCGAATCTTTTGAGGATTTGTGAGCTCCTCACACAACCCAGCCTGGTTAAACCCAGGATAGATCTGTAGGCAGACCAGCCTGAATGTTTGTAACTGGTGAAGATGTTAAGTTTGGGAGGGTCCACGTTTCGCAAGCAGAGAGAAGAGAGGGCATGATAGTGACCGAGAAGACCCGCAGATTCGTGTGGAGCGACAGACCTGGAACCTTCCATACAGCGTTAGGCAGGCGATGAAAATATAATGCCGCTGAAATGATTCAGATTGAGACCTCTGCTGTCAAACCAGAGCTGGTCATGAGTACACTGCCCAGACGTGGAAAACTCTTCACTCGCTCCACAACTGCCCCACCAATGGGAAGTTGAGGAAATTGAGTATTTGATGACAAAAAAATAGTTTTGGAGGGACTGATGGTAAGGCCCCACCTCTCAGTGACACACTCCAGGTTCAGCAGCAACGCCCCCAACTCCTCCTCTGAGTGAGCAGCAATCCCCAGATCATCAGCATACATAACGTGGTTGACCAATAGGGAGCCATCCCTTGACCGCACCAGTGCATCAATCAGCTTCCCATTGTATCTGTACCAGATGTACATTTCTCCGGTATAGCCATGAAACGATTATCAAACTATGTGGTCGAAAAAGATGTTAAATAAGAACAACCCAAAGCCCAGGCCTACTGATGGTATCATAGGCCTTGACCAGGTCAATAAAGCAGAGATGTTGGTCTTGTTGGAATTCCCTACACCTCTGCTATAGCAGACGGCCAGAGAATATAGCATATGTTCAGGACCACCCTGACCTGAAACCACATTGGGGATCCGCAAGCCTCTCCTGAACATGTTCCTGGGTAGTAAGTGTTATTTCGTAATTTCTTATGCCTAAATAGTATAGAAAATGGTGATTATTCCCCACAAACTTTGCTTTTGTGACCAGGACAGTGATATTTAGAAATGTACCTATTTTCAATGAGAAAACGGGCGAATTTGTGTCTTTTCATTCACACAAAGTAAAAAAACAAACATATGAATCAACAGTAACATGTATTTATACTCTTTGGTTCTTTCGGTAAAGTCACGTGGGTAGAAATAAATAAATAATAAATCACGACTTTTGATCGCAACACGAGCAATCGTCATCAGGTAGAAAGATACAGCAGTAGAACTGCTGAACAGGAAAGAGCTGCTGCAACAAGAGGCTATATACAGGTTTGAGGTGGGTGTCACCCAAGGGTAAGTAGGCAGGGTCAGAGATGATAAGGAGTCCCGCCGCCGCACGCACGCACAACAGCTGCGCCAAAAGAGGAAGATTGGCATGCTAATGACTACAAAAGATTTAGAAGTGAGTAGTTTTTCAAGATTTACGATTATACTGTAAATCACTTTCACGAATCAGCCCCCAAATGTAGTCTCCCATCATGTTCTCGTTATACTGTCCTTGGTAGCGGCGTTCCAAGTCCAGTATATCCTGGCGGAAGCGCTCGCCTTGCTCCTCCGAGTACGCTCCCATGTTCTCCTTGAATTGATCAAGATGAGCATCAAGGATGTGGACTTTGAGGGACATCCTACAGCCCATTGCGCCGTAGTTCTTCACCAGAGCCTCAACCAGCTCCACGTAGTTTTCGACCTTGAGATTGCCCAGGAAGCCACGAACCACTGCGACAAAGCTGTCCCAAGCCGCTTTCTCCTTACAAGTGAGCTTCTTGGGGAATTAATTGCACTCCAGGATCTTCTTTGTCTGTGCTCCGACGAAGACACCGGCTTTGACCATTGCCTCAGACAGCTTAGGGAAGAAGTCTTGAAGGTACTTAAAGGCTGCCGACTCCTTATCTACAGCTCTGACAAATTGTTTCATGAGGCCCAATTTGATGTGCAGTGGTGGCACCTTCCGGGGATCCACCAGTGTTGTTCCTCCCCACCGAGAACTCGGTCCGCTGTGGCCAGTCCCGCCTGTGGTAGTGCGACTTGGTGTCCCTGCTGTCCCAAAGGCAAATATAGCAGGGAAACTTGGTAAAACCACCTTGGAGACCCATCAGGAATGCCACCATTTTGAAGTATCTGATGACCTCCCAGCCGTACTCATCATACTTCAACGTGTCCAGCAAGGTCTTGATGCTGTTGTAATCCTCTTTGAGGTGCACCGAGTGAGCCAGGGGAAGAGACAGGTACTTGTTACCATTATGGAGCAGCACGGCTTTGAGGCTCCTGGATGAGCTGTCAATGAAGAGGCGCCACTCATTCTGGTTACAGGCGATTCCGATTGCCTCGAGCAGACTGGTCACATTGTGGCAGAAGCAGAGGCCCATCTTGACGGGCGAAGAAGCTGCAAAAAGGTTGGTGACGCTTCCTCTGATCTGCGGCTTGCAACAAGTTCCAATGCTTGAGCCGAGACGTCAAAAACTCGGCATTGGACTTGGTGAGACCAAGATCTCCGATAAAGTTGTTGAGGTATTTTTGGTTGGGGTAGTATGGGTTTCTCTGCTCAGCTCCACCTCTGAAATTGTCATCTGGATCTACAACGTCTTCCTCGCTCTCTGACTTGCTGCTCTCTTCTAAAGACGGCTGCTCTCTCTCCGGTGGAGTGGGTACGGGGAGCTCATGGCAGTGTGGCACCGGGGTGATGGATGAAGGAAGGTCCGGATACGTGATGGCAGATGCATTCTTGCCAGTCCGACGTTTGGAAGGGTCCACCATGCAGAAGTAGCAGTTGCTTGAGTAGTCGGTGAGTTCCCGCCATGTTCTTGGGATAGCGAACTTCATTGCTCTCTTTTCCCCTCTGTACCATTCTAAAAAATACATTTATTTCACCCATGACTAAGGTGTAAGAGATTCTCACAACATTTTTCATATATGATATATATTTTTTCAAACACATTTTAAAATGAATTGATTTCATTTTTTTGACATTTTTTTTTACAAATTTCATAACATAAAATTCCGAGCAACAATTGTCCATCTTACCTTCCAGAGTATTTTTTTGCATTGCTCGCAGGTGAAATGAGGTGCCCAAGGTTTGTCTTGATCCCCGACAGACATACCGAAATATGCCTTGTAGGCCTCGCACATCTTAGCAGATGCTTCTACAGAGTACTTTGTCACTCTTGTCTTGATAAATTGGCCGCAGACAGAGCAAAATGCGTCTGCCTGATGCTTGCAGCCTCTTGATGCCATCTCAGAAAAATGCAGATATGTATCCACTTAGGCAACTGGAACTAAAATGAACTGGTGGGCTTAAGGTCCCTGTATTCATACTACTATTTATATTACTGGAAAGTTCTAGAATGTTCTAGAAGTTACTCCAAGTTTACTCAGCACTGAATCTATTCGGAATGTTTTGGAAAATAGGTACATTTCAAAAAATCACTGTCCTGGTCACAGAAGCAATATTTGTGGGGAATAATAGCCATTTTATGTACTTTTGAGGCATAAGCAATTAGGAAATAACACTTACTACCCAGGAACCAAAAACAATAGTTACGCAGTGTGATCCATGCCTGGACCTTTCCCGGCACACTGAGGATGGAGATGCCCCTGTAGTTATTACAGTCTGTGCGGTCCCCCTTCTTAAAGAGAGGGACCACCAGGGTATTCTTCCAACCCTGCGGAACACGTCCAGTGGTCCAGACTGTTATTATGATGTCGTATAGGGCAGTCTGCGCAGAAACAGCACCATCCCTCAGCAATTCGCTTGCGAGATCATCTCTGCCTCGCGCTTTTTCTGGTCTTAGACTCTGGATCGCCTTAAGTACTTCTTCAACAGATGGCACCTCGGCCAGCCACTCACAAGCCACTACTTCTTTCAATATTTGAGGCACCGCAGCCTCAGCAGGGTCATCCTCACTCTGTGCCACGTTTTCCTGGCTGAGGGATTTTCCCTCCCCCAGGACCTCACGGAAATGCTCAGCAAATCTGGCGGTTGGCGATCAGATCACATTTCTTCCCCACATACATACAAACCCACCCACGGATGTAAATAATACACATATCTACCGTATAGCCTTAACAGACTGTTGGGGAAAGTGATGTTAGCGAGCAACTATGAAGGCCGGAACGGCACACGAGGGGGTGGGTGGTCAGCACCACGCCCGGCCGCCTTTGTCTCCCCAGAGGCGATGTTTTTATACACCGCACCAGGTACTCATTTGAGGCTGAGTCGACCTAGGGGAAGCCCAGGACCGGTTCAGATAATCGTCACCGGTGGTGGTCGTGAGCGGGAATCGAACCCGTGTCGCCGGGTTTGTAACGCAGCGTAGAGCTAACTGCTACACCACCGCTCCACACACATAACACACACAGACATGTACACACAGAGACGTGTACACACAGACATGTACACACAGAGACATGTACACACACATGTGTATACACAGACATGTACACACACGTGTACACACAGAGACGTGTACACACATGTGTATACACAGACATGTACACACAGAGACGTGTACACACACGTGTATACACACACGTGTACACACAGAGACGTGTACACACAGAGACGTGTACACACACATGTGTATACACAGACGTGTACACACAGAGAAGTGTACACACAGAGACGTGTACACACGTGTACACACAAAGACGTGTACACACAGAGACGTGTACACACACATGTGTATACACAGACATGTACACACAGAGACGTGTACACACAGAGACGTGTACACACATGTGTATACACGGAGACGTGTACACACACACGTGTACACACATGTGTACACAGAGACATGTACACACAGAGACGTGTACACACACATGTGTATACACAGACATGTACACACAGAGACGTGTACACACCCAGACATGTAAACGATGAGGAAGTCGGGGATATTGACATTGATGGTGGTGATGGTGGTGTTGATACCGCCCGTCTGGAACGTTCTTCCCTTCCGACACTAGGAAGCCCACTGGTAGCTTTGCTACAATTTTACAATCATCGTCGAGATTGACAAACTCATTTGTTTGGAACTGCTGCTTAACACGTCGGCTTTCGCGACCAATATCATCTATAACAGAGGTTCTTAGAGTTAGATCGCATAAATATGAAAATGTGTCGTTAAACCCGCCACCACCCGACACAGCCAACTAGTAAGGGACAGATCTGGCTGTCGCCTGATGAAGCTGGTTGTAATTACTGGCGAAACGTCGTACTCAGATTGTAAAGGTTGTAGCTTCACTCTCCAACACACCGGTGTGCTGTACTAGTATACTACACTATACACTACAACACTATACACTACACTATACACTACACTACTACACTATACACTACACTATACACTACACTATACACTTCACTATACATTAGTGCTGTACTAGTACACTACACTATACTATACACTATACACTAGTGCTGTACTAGTATACTACACTATACACTACACTATACACTACACTATTATACACTACACTATACACTAGTGCTATACTAGTACACTACACTATACACTACACTATACACTACACTACTATACACTACACTATACACTAGTGCTGTACTAGTACACAACACTATACTATACACTACACTATAAACTACACTACTATACACTACACTATACACTAGTGCTGTACTAGTATACTACATTATACACTACACTACTATACACTACACTATACACTACACTATACACGAATGCTGTACTAGTATACTACACTATACATTACACTATACACTAGTGATGTACTAGTATGCTACACTATACACTACAACACTATACACTACACTACTATACACTACACTATATACTACACTACACACTAGTGCTGTACTAGTGAGGAATTGGCCACGTTCTGTTTACGTGACAACCCTTACTAGTTGGCTGTGTCGGGTGGTGGCGGGTTTAACGACACAACATTTAGATATTTACGTGATCTAACGCAAAGCACCTCTATTATGGAGAACTGCTTGTTGTTGTTGTTGTGCTTAGTTTGTTGTCCTTCCCTCCCAGCACATTTGATTAGCGCGCTTGGCTACGTACGGTGTGAAAGAAGTTCAACGTACAGATGAGTATGGTTCTCTATGGAAATCTATAGGTTTCTGCGTGTCTCTGTGGGTCTCTGTGGGTCTCTGTGGGCCTCTTTCATTCGATGCTAGAAGAAATATACTGGGAGCTGTGCTACAACCTTTAAACAATCGTCGACATTGACAAACTCATTTGTTTAGAACTGCTGCGTGTCGTTGTTGTTGTTGTTGTTGCTGTGTTTCGTTTCTCGTCTCTCTCTTCCGCACCTGCGATCAGCGCGGTTGGACCACGGACGATGGTGCGAAAAAAAGTTCAACGTGCAGTTGCAGACATCGCGAGAGGGGGTGGACAAGTGTGGAGTTGCCCACACTTTACCCCACCGCCAACACCAACACCACCACCGGCACCACGACACCCAGGCGGGGGTTGTCACCTTCACGACTTGGGTCTCCATCACGGCGTCAAGGAAGTCGTCAATTTCCTTCAACTCTTCTGCGCTCAGACATTCCGGAGTCCCCACGCCAGCCTCGTAGTTGTCCAGCATTGCCATGAAGCCTGCGACACACAGACAATTATATTGTGTAACACAACTTTCTCACACACACACACACAGATCCCCAGACTCGCGTTATAGCCTTCATCATTAGCATTATAATAATGATACAATTATATTGTGTAACACAACTTTCTCACACACACACACACAGATCCCCAGACTCGCGTTATAGCCTTCATCATTAGTATTATAATAATGATACAATTATATTGTATAACACAACTTTCTCACACACACACACACAGATCCCCAGACTCGCGTTATAGTCTTCATCATTAGTATTATAATAATGATACAATTATATTGTGTAACACAACTTTCTCACACACACACACAGATCCCCAGACTCGCGTTATAGCCTTCATCATTAGCATTATAATAATGATACAATTATATTGTGTAACACAACTTTCTCACACACACACACACAGATCCCCAGACTCGCGTTATAGTCTTCATCATTAGTATTATAATAATGATACAATTATATTGTGTAACACAACTTTCTCACACACACACAGACACACACAGATCCCCAGACTCGCGTTGTAGTCTTCATCATTAGTATTATAATAATGATACAATTATATTGTGTAACAACTTTCTCACACACACACACAGATCCCCAGCCCCACATTATAGTCTTCATCGTTAGAGTATTTTAATGATATCATTATAATATTATTCGATTCTATTATTATAATTCTAATAAATATAAACTAATATAACATTGATTATATTATTATACGTATAGTTACGTAATAATTACTGTATAACTAATTGTTATAATAATAATGTTTAAAATGGCTCTCACACACACAAAGATCCCCATTTTTGCCTTCATTATAATTATTATAATGATAAATATTATAATAACTATAATAATGAAAATAACTCAAGATTTTAAACGTAATTATAATTGTTATAAGTTTCATAATTGTTATTTTTTTAAATGTTACGTAATTATTATTATGAATTGAGTGAGACAGGCATCTTTCATTATTATAGAAATACGTCTTTCTCGCTCTCTTCATTCATGATAATAATTATATAACTTTTTGTTTTTCTAATTATATTATTAGAAAGGAATCCAATATAATAATTATGATATTAAATTTTAATTTAAAGTTTTCGTGACTGTAGGGATTCATATTCTTGGTTCTTTCGGTTAAGTCACCACGTAGAAGAGAAACAATAAAAAAAATATAAAACAATAAAATTCTCACGACGTTTCGACTGCAACACAAGCAATCATCATCAGGTGTGAAAACCACAGCAAGAAAATTTTAAAAAAGTGGCGGTGTTTTTTTAACGTTAGCACCACGGAGAGCGATTTGGCAGTTTATTCAGATGGACGAGTCCATCTATGTTCGGGAAAGAGGAGGGGGGAGACGAAAATAATAAGCCGTATAATCTTGGTGGCCTGGTAGCAGAAGGTTTCAACGATAACTGTTGGGTTTGATCTATTAATGCGGTTGAATCAGAAATGATTTTGTTGGTATGTATGACGAGGCTGTTGGTGGGATCTCTTTTTATTTTTGTATAGCTGCCATTGTTGAGTAATTCTTGAATTTTGTTGTTATATTATATTTTATCCATGATGACAGTGGCATTGCCCTTGTCGGCTGAGAGGATGACAATGTCATCCCTCTTTTTTAATTTATATAATTCAAAACGCTCATCTTTGCTGAAGTTGCTAGCTGCCATCTTAGCGTTTTTGAGGGTTGCAGCGATTTCAGATCTTCCTACGTCTGCAGCGATGTGACCCAGGCCTTTGAGAGCCACGTCTACTTGGGCAATGATATCATTAACTGGTATGTGTTTAGGTGTGACTGCAAAGTTTATCCCTTTAGCTAAAACGGATTTCAGACCATCGGAAATAGAACTGTTACTGCGATTAATTACGACTTTGTTAACGTCTAACTTTTTGGTGTGGGTCTGGTCTTTTGTTGAAGAGGAGGTTAAATTTGGAAATCAGGATGTCCTTACATTTGGTCGACATAGTGGCAGCTGAAGAGACAGTCATATTATCTACATGTTCCCAATCCGATGAGGACATTGTTGCCATCAATGATAAGTGTGATTTGTAGAGTGTCTTGTCTAACTGATCTAGTTCGGTGCATATTAGTCTGATTTTCTCTGAGATAAGAGCTAAGCTAGTCCTGGAAAGAATTCGTTTCACATCAGAAGAAGTTGCAGCAGCAGAGGTCAGTGTAAATGCGATTGGTTTTACCCCAGAGTCGCGGCATCTCTTCAGAAAGGTGAGAGACTCGATCGGCTGAGCCTTCTTATCCCGGAGTTTGTTGAAGGATCTCAAAGTTATGTGGAAACCCTTCCCGTAGAGGCGGTTAAATTTTGATCTAAAGCTTTCGTGACTGCAGGGATTCATATGATTGGTTCTTTCGGTAAAGTCACATAGAAGGGAAACAATAAAATAAGAAAAATATAAAACAATAAAATTATCACGCTGTTTCGACTGCAACACAAGCAATCATCATCAGGTGTGAAAATCACAGCAAGAAATTTAGAAAAAAGTGGCGTTTTTTTAACGTTAGCACCACGGAGAGCGATTTGACAGTTTGTTCAGATGGACGAGTCCATCTATGTTCGGAAAAGAAGAGGGGGGAGACGAAAATAATGGATGCGGTCTGAAAGCCACCGTAAGCGTGAACAATCAATTAAGACTCGAAATGGTTTATCAAATCCTTCCAATGATTGCTAAGCCAGAATCCATCTTCTCTGTTGAAATTGTCTCTGTGTTTGTATATGTGGATAGCCTCATGAACGAATCTCTCATGGTAGCCAGATGGCTTTCAAAGAACCTCTGTCTTGGAGACGTCAATGTCATGTGAGCCTACTGAATTATAACAGTGATCTGCCACGGCCGAGGTGTTGGTCCTACCGTGTTTTATTGTTTGCCTTCTACGTGACTTTACCGAATGAACCAAGAATATAATTATGATATTGTTATATTGAAACGTAGGCTGGCCTCCGAATGATGAATACACTCTAGAAGTCCTGGCCCTCCAGGGCCAGGCCATCCAAGACACGACAAACATCTACAACACTCCACTAGTTTCTAAGACAATGCGGACACTGGTATGATTATCAGAGCATGTCTGTTTGCATGTTCACTTCAAGTACTGTGCGCTGTCAATGTTGACTTTATTCCCAGATAAAATGTGTAATCTCTTTCCATGATGTTTAATACAACACCTGCTTTATTGATAGAAATGGTAAACACCTATGCTTATTTTCATTAAATTTGGATACTTTCAGAAAAAAAGGTCCCATGATAAAACAAGCATATCGGTTTAAAAAGTCTCTCTTATTCATTAATCTACCTCGCTTGGTATGCAGGAGGTCGTGGGTTCGATCCCGACCCTGACGATGTCTGCTGCTGCTGCTGTATATTTGGAGTTTGCGTCTCTCTCTCATCATCATCAAGGTGGCTAGGAGATGTTAACCACCTCGCCTGGTGTACAGGAGGTCGTGGGTTCGATCCCGACCCTGACGATGCCTGCTGCTGCTGCTGCTCTATATTTGGAGGCTGCGTCTCTCTCTCTTTCTCTCCCCAAGGACGCGGGGTTTTTTTTCCCCGGCTCCTCCGGTTTTGTCCTCTCCACATTTAGTAACACGCATGGAGATTATTTTGATCATTGTGCTGCTATAAATGTCCAAATGATGGGTAACTTTATCGCGTTCTCATTGTGTGGCGGCCAGGTAGCTTCTGAAAAAATAAGTGAATACTTCGGTGGGGCTTTCCCTGGTAAGGATGGGGATGGTTCAGCGCTGTATTTGTCTGTGTCTGGGTGATGTGTTCACCTGCCGTGTTTGTGTGATGTGCTTCTTGTTGTTCTAACGTTCTTACCCCGTGGCCCCCTTACTGGACATATGCGAGTTAAAGAGCTTCATAGCTCATCGGATTGCTCCTGCAGCCCAAAGACATATTGTGGCTCAGATTTTTTTTGCCTTTCTCGTGACACTGCGCCCCTTAGCAGATGAAAGATTGAATCGTTCGCTTTTCCACGTTTAAATTTGTATTAATTATTACGTTGATTTCACGCTCACTCGTCCGGGTGGAGAGTTTTTAAGAGATTGTTTTAATTATATATATTTAAAATAACATATTCTCACGACAAAAATGCCATGGCAACTAAGTGGGCCCTAACCATGCAACCAAAATAATACATATTCTTGGTTCTTTCGGTAAAGTCACGTAGAAGGGAAATAATGAAATAATAAAACATACATTTTATTTTATTTATGAATCCCTGCAGTCACGAAAGCTTTAAATCGAAACAAAAGAATACAATTAATAATTTAAAAATGTAAACAAAAAAATATGCCAGTTATTAATCGGAATCCGAATTCTGCATTAACCACGTGGTGTATGTCGATTAACTGTGAATTAACCCCACCGGTTATTGATTATTCATTGTAATGTATATTAATACATTAGCCACGTGATGTATGTTGATTAACTGTGAATCTACTCCACCGGTTATTGATTATTCATTGTAATGTATATTAATACATTAACCACGTGATGTATGTTGATTAACTGTGAATCTACCCCACCGGTTATTGATTATTCATTGTAATGTATATTAGTACATTAGCCACGTGATGTATGTTGATTAACTGTGAATCTACCCCACCGGTTATTGATTATTCATTGTAATGTATATTAATACATTAGCCACGTGATGTATGTTGATTAACTGTTAATCTACCCCACCGGTTATTGATTATTCATTGTAATGTATATTAATACATTATCCACGTGATGTATGTTGATTAACTGTGAATCTACCCCACCGGTTATTGATTATTCATTGTAATGTATATTAGTACATTAGCCACGTGATGTATGTTGATTAACTGTGAATCTACTCCACCGGTTATTGATTATTCATTGTAATGTATATTAGTACATTAACCACGTGATGTATGTTGATTAACTGTGAATCTACCCCACCGGTTATTGATTATTCATTGTAATGTATATTAGTACATTAACCACGTGATGTATGTTGATTAACTGTGAATCTACCCCACCGGTTATTGATTATTCATTGTAATGTATATTAGTACATTAGCCACGTGATGTATGTTGATTAACTGTGAATCTACCCCACCGGTTATTGATTATTCATTGTAATGTATATTAGTACATTAGCCACGTGATGTATGTTGATTAACTGTGAATCTACCCCACCGGTTATTGATTATTCATTGTAATGTATATTAGTACATTAACCCCCCTACACACCACTGGTCTTCGCACCAGATTGGCTCACATGTATCCCTCCGCTCTGTTTCAGACCGAAACGGGAGGAGGAGGGAGGATGTCTCCACAACGCTGTGGCGGTCATCTGATGATGCTGCTGGTTGTTGTGGTTGTTGTGGTTGTTGTGGTTGTTGTGGTTGTTGTGGGTGTTGTGGTTGTTGTGGTTGTTGTTGTGGTTGTTGTTGTGGTTGTTGTGGGTGTTGTGGTTGTTGTTGTTGTTGTAATTACCGGCAAAACGTCAAGGCTACTCTGATTGTATTGGATTTACTCTCCAACACACAACCGGTTAGTGCTGAACTAGTATACTACACTATACACTACAGTATACACTACAGTATACTACACTATACACTACACTATACACTACACTATACACTATAAACTACTATACACTACACTATACACTACACTATACACTACACTATACACTACTATACACTACACTATACACTACTATACACTACACTATACACTACACTATACACTACACTATACACTACAGTATACACTATACTATACACTACACTATAATCGTAAATGTTGTAGTGGTTAGTGCTGTACTATACACTACACTATACACAACACTATACACTACTATACACTACACTATACACTACTATACACTACACTATACACTACTATACACTACACTATACACTACACTATACACTACACTATACACTACTATACACTACACTATACACTACTATACACTACACTATACACTACACTATACACTACACTATACACTACACTATACACTACTATACACTACACTATACACTACTATACACTACACTATACACTACCATACACTACACTATACACTACACTATACACTACAGTATACTACACTATTCACTACACTATACACTACACTATATACTACACTATACACTACACTATACACTACAGTATACTACACTATACACTACACTATACACTATACTATACACTACACTATAATCATAAATGTTGTAGTGGTTAGTGCTGTACTAGTAACGACTTGGCCAAGTTTTGTTTACGTGACAAACCCCTTACTGATAGGCTCTGTCGTCAGGTGGTGGCGGATTTAACGACACCACATTTATATCCACGTGATCTCTACCCCCCCACCAAACCTCTCATCTAACACATACAGTAAGAGGCTATCGCGACCAAATATCATCCATAATACAAGTCTGTTGGGTTATATCGCGCAAAAAATATATTAACCTCTTGATTTGAAGTTTTCGTGACTGCATGGATCCATACTCTTTGGTTCTGTCGGCAAAGTCGTCACGTAGCTATAAAATAAAATATTTATTTTATTTTAAAATATTTATTTCATTTTAAAATATTTATTTTATTTTAAAATATTATTTCATTTTAAAATATTTATCTTATTTCTACCTCCGTGACTTTACCGCAAGAACCAAAACGCGTAAAGCCTCTTATTATGGATACTATCGGCCGTTGAAAGCCCCCTCCTCCTACGACAACTACTGAATTCTGTCCCCAGGAGCGGCAGCAGCAATAATTGCCGTGCCGCGCACGCTGTGGTGGTGGTGGTGGGGTAAAGTGTGGGTAACCGCGTACTCGAGTAGGTCTTCATTCCCTTCAGCTTCTTCTCGTCCACGAAGTGGAAGAGTCGCTTGGGAGCCTCGTCCGTGTGTCCACGTGGGCTGGCCTCGGCCTGCTCCAAAAGACACGAAAGATTCAGAGGCCCCCTCCACCACCCCCACCGCATCCCGCGTAGCCTCTTGGCACATTTGCCGAGGTGGCTTCTGAGATGTGAACTCCCTCGCCTGCCACGCAGGAGGTCCGTAAGTCCGGTCCTCGACCCTGACGACGCCCGTTGCGTGTTTGTAGTTTGCGTGTCGTTGTCTCTCTCTCTCTCATCATCATTATCATCATCATGGTAGCGAAATGTTAACTACCTCACCTGGTGTGCAGGAGATCGTGGTGGCTTCAACCCTGACCCTGACGATGCCTGCTGCTGCTGCTGTATATTTGGAGTCTACGTCTCTCTCTCTCTCATCATCATGGTAGCGAAATGTTAACTACCTCACCTGGTGTGCAGGAGGTCGTGGGTTCGATCCCTACCCTGACGATGCCTGCTGCTGCTGCTGCTGTATATTTGTGTTTTGCGGTGTCTCTCTCTCCCTGTGGTCGCGTGGATTTGTCTCCGGGTCATCCGCGTCCCCTCCCCCCCCCCCCTACATTTAGAATAATATTGGGCATTTGGGAAAAATAGCTTAAGAGCTCATTGGATTTTCTCCAGGAAAATGTTATATTCTGATTCTCACGAAGAATCACCACGCGTCGACAGTATCTGGCTGTGATTGGGATCCACGCGATAATCATGTTGCAATGTTTTACTTGAGCAGGTAAGGCCCAGTGACCTACGCCGCTCTCTTTCAGAAGCCACCTGCGCAACTAAAATGAGTTCCCAACGGAGTGGTTCACCATCGCGTGGGAATTCACAGCAGTAGCTAAATACTCTAAGCGCGTGATGTTGATTCTAAACGTGGAAAATAACACCGGAGGACCCGGATAAATATCCACGCGACCACGGGGAAAGAGACACGCAAACTCCAAATATACAGCAGTAGCAGCAGCAGGTGTCAGAGTCGGGATCGAACCCACGACCTCCTGCGCACCAGGCGAGGTAGTTAACATATCCTAGCCACCGTGATGATGATGCGAGAGAGACGCAAACTCCAAATATACAGCAGCAGGCATCGTCAGAGTCGGGATTAAGCCACGCAGTAGCTCAGTAGGGGGCCTTACACCTGGGGAAATGAAAAATACGTGTTTTTTTTTAAATTGTATTTTAATTTGTACAATTTATAATTTAATTTTAATAGCCAGGCAGCTCTCTCGCGGTGACGTTGAAAGGCCCCGGGTGTTTTACCTGCAGGCAGATGGAGTAATCGGTGCACGGGGTGAGCCGATTGATGTCGGCTCGCCAAAGTTCATTCAGCACCACGGACAGCTCGCTCCTGTCCGAATAGCTGCGGACACACACACGACAAAGATACCCCAAACCCCGGTATAGCCTTCACAGACTGTTGGGGCAAGTGCTGTGAGCGAGTAGCAGCAGCTATGAAGGTCCAGACAAAGAACCCCCATACAGCCTTCACAAACTGTTGGGGCAAGTGCTGTGAGCGAGTAGCAGCAGCTATGAAGCTCCAGACAAAGAACCCCCATACAGCCTTCACAGACTGTTGGGGCAAGTGCTGTTAGCGAGCAGCAGCAGCTATGAAGGTCCAGACAAATAACCCCCATACAGCCTTCACAGACTGTTGGGGTAAGTGCTCTGAGCGAGTAGCAGCAGCTATGAAGGTCCAGACAAAGAACCCCCATACAACCTTCACAGACTGTTGGGGCAAGTGCTGTGAGCGAGTAGCAGCAGCTATGAAGGTCCAGACAAAGAACCCCCATACAGCCTTCACAAACTGTTGGGGCAAGTGCTCTGAGCGAGTAGCAGCAGCTATGAAGGTCCAGACAAAGAACCCCCATACAGCCTTCACAGACTGTTGGGGCAAGTGCTCTGAGCGAGTAGCAGCAGCTATGAAGGTCCAGACAAAGAACCCCCATACAGCCTTCACAGACTGTTGGGGCAAGTGCTGTGAGCGAGTAGCAGCAGCTATGAAGGTCCAGACAAAGAACCCCCATACAGCCTTCACAAACTGTTGGGGCAAGTGCTCTGAGCGAGTAGCAGCAGCTATGAAGGTCCAGACAAAGAACCCCCATACAGCCTTCACAGACTGTTGGGGCAAGTGCTGTGAGCGAGTAGCAGCAGCTATGAAGTTCCAGACAAAGAACCCCCATACAGCCTTCACAAACTGTTGGGGCAAGTGCTCTGAGCGAGTAGCAGCAGCTATGAAGGTCCAGACAAAGAACCCCCATACAGCCTTCACAGACTGTTGGGGCAAGTGCTCTGAGCGAGTAGCAGCAGCTATGAAGGTCCAGACAAAGAACCCCCATACAGCCTTCACAGACTGTTGGGGCAAGTGCTGTGAGCGAGTAGCAGCAGCTATGAAGGTCCAGACAAAGAACCCCCATACAGCCTTCACAAACTGTTGGGGCAAGTGCTCTGAGCGAGTAGCAGCAGCTATGAAGGTCCAGACAAAGAACCCCCATACAGCCTTCACAGACTGTTGGGGCAAGTGCTCTGAGCGAGTAGCAGCAGCTATGAAGGTCCAGACAAAGAACCCCCATACAGTCTTCACAGACTGTTGGGGCAAGTGCTCTGAGCGAGTAGCAGCAGCTATGAAGGTCCAGACAAAGAACCCCCATACAGCCTTCACAGACTGTTGGGGCAAGTGCTGTGAGCGAGTAGCAGCAGCTATGAAGGTCCAGACAAAGAACCCCCATACAGCCTTCACGGACTGTTGGGGCAAGTGCTCTGAGAGAGTAGCAGCAGCTATGAAGGTCCAGACAAAGAACCCCCATACAGCCTTCACAGACTGTTGGGGCAAGTGCTCTGAGCGAGTAGCAGCAGCTATGAAGGTCCAGACAAAGAACCCCCATACAGTCTTCACAGACTGTTGGGGCAAGTGCTGTGAGCGAGTAGCAGCAGCTATGAAGGTCCAGACAAAGAACCCCCATACAGCCTTCACAGACTGTTGGGGCAAGTGCTGTGAGCGAGTAGCAGCAGCTATGAAGGTCCAGACAAAGAACCCCCATACAGCCTTCACAAACTGTTGGGGCAAGTGCTCTGAGCGAGTAGCAGCAGCTATGAAGGTCCAGACAAAGAACCCCCATACAGCCTTCACAAACTGTTGGGGCAAGTGCTGTGAGCGAGTAGCAGCAGCTATGAAGTTCCAGACAAAGAACCCCCATACAGCCTTCACAGACTGTTGGGGCAAGTACTCTGAGCGAGAAGCAGCACCTACGAAGCCCGATTTGCTGCAAAGACAAAGCTCCCCCGTATAGGCTCGAGTAGACTGTTGGGGCAAGTGCTGTTAGCGAGCACCTATGAAGGCCGGCACGGCACACGAGGGAGTGGGTGGCCAGCACCACGCCCGGCCGAATTTGTCTCCCTAGTCGCGATGTTTACACAGCGCACCAGGTACTCATTTTAGGCTGAGTCGACCTAGGGGAGGCCCAGGATCGATTAAGATAATCGTCACTGATGGTGTTGGTGGCCGTGAGCGGGAATCGAACTCGGGTCGCCGGGTTCGTAGTGGACACACACAAGAGCAAGAGAGTGTGCGCTCTTTCTCTGATGCTGTTCTCACCGTCTAAACCGCGTGGCTTATCTCCCTACAATGTCTATCATTGCCTCGAGATCCCATCAGAGACAGCGTCTGTCTGTCCATTAACACTTCTGTGCGTCTACAATTTTAGGTGTATATATATACACACAGTATTTGCGAATCCACGTGTACGTACTCACAACAGCATCGCTAACAATGCGAAAACTGACAAATCAACTATTTATTTTGGTAACATATAACGCCTACGGTTATGTATATATATAAACACAAAACCCAAAACCACTCACCTGGCCATGATTACAGAGGCCGTCGAGTCGACTCGCGGTAAAGAGATTCAAAAACAAAAATACAATCAGCAGCACATCAGCAGCACATCAGCAGCACATCAGCAGCAGCAGCAGCACGTCAGTCGGCAGACGCCTGACCCGTGGTTTCAAGAAGAGCACGAAAGAAATCCCCCAAACTTGCCAAGCACGGTGCAGCGCGGCCTTATAAAAGCGACCCTCCCACCCACCTCATTAGCCCGGCTGGGGATATGCAACTGGGACGTGACCGATAATGCTCCCAAGGACGCCGTGAAATTACCGGCAATTAGAGGATGGGAGGCAGCTCGCGGACATCCCCACCGCCGCCGCCTTCATAATTGTGGCCCCTAAAGGCCGCGAGGCGTGCCCCGAGTTGGTCACCTCGCAGAAGGCGATGAGCGGAATTTGGGATGGCAGTGTGGGAGGCGCACGCCCGTCATCGTCCTGTGTCGAGTGGCGAATCAGGAAGGAACAAAGGGGGAACCTGGGTTCGATTCGCGACTCGGGTGATTGATTGTCCGTTCTCTCCCCGTTCTGCAGACTGAGTGAGAGGAGTTTGTATGATCTCCTCCTGTTCTACAGAGTGAGTGGAGTTTGTATGATCTCCCCCAGTCATACAGAGTTGAGTTTGTATGATCTCCCCCTGTCATACAGAGTTGAGTTTGTATGATCTCCCCCCTGTCATACAGAGTTGAGTTTGTATGATCTCCCCCTGTCATACAGAGTGAGTGAGTGGAGTTTGTATGATCTCCCCCTGTTATACAGAGTTGAGTTTGTATGATCTCCCCCTGTTCTACAGAGTGAGTGGAGTTTGTATGATCTCCCCCTGTCATACAGAGTGAGTGGAGTTTGTATGATCTCCCCCTGTCATACAGAGTGAGTGGAGTTTGTATGATCTCCCCCTGTCATACAGAGTGAGTGGAGTTTGTATGATCTCCCCCTGTCATACAGAGTGAGTTGAGTTTGTATGATCTCCCCCTGTTCTACAGAGTGAGTGGAGTTTGTATGATCTCCCCCTGTCATACAGAGTGAGTGGAGTTTGTATGATCCCCCCCTGTCATACAGAGTGAGTTGAGTTTGTATGATCTCCCCCTGTCCTACAGAGTGAGTGGAGTTTGTATGATCTCCCCCTGTCCTACAGAGTGAGTGGAGTTTGTATGATCTCCCCCTGTCATACAGAGTGAGTTGAGTTTGTATGATCTCTCCCTGTTCTACAGAGTGAGAGGCGTTTGTATGATCTCCCCCTGTCCTACAGAGTGAGTGGAGTTTGTGTGATCTCCCCCTGTCATACAGAGTGAGTGGAGTTTGTGTGATCTCCCTCTGTTCTGCAGAGTGAGTGAGTGGGGTTTGTATGATCTCCCACTGTTCTACAGAGTGAGTGGAGTTTGTATGATCTCCCCCTGTCATACAGAGTGAGAGGAGTTTGTATGATCTCCCCCTGTCATACAGAGTGAGTTGAGTTTGTATGATCTCACCCTGTTCTACAGAGTGAGAGGCGTTTGTATGATCTCCCCCTGTCCTACAGAGTGAGTGGAGTTTGTATGATCTCCCCCTGTCATACAGAGTGAGTGGAGTTTGTGTGATCTCCCCCTGTTCTGCAGAGTGAGTGAGTGGGGTTTGTATGATCTCCCACTGTTCTACAGAGTGAGTGGAGTTTGTATGATCTCCCCCTGTCCTACAGAGTGAGTGTGGAGTTTGAATGATCTCACCCTGCTCTACAGAGTGAGTGGAGTTTGTATGATCTCCCCCTGTCCTATAGAGTGAGTGAGTGGAGTTTGTATGATCTCCCCCTGTCATACAGAGTGAGTGGAGTTTGTATGATCTCCCCCTGTCCTATAGAGTGAGTGGAGTTTGTATGATCTCCCCCTGTCCTATAGAGTGAGTGGAGTTTGTATGATCTCCCCCTGTCCTATAGAGTGAGTGGAGTTTGTATGATCTCCCCCAGTTCTACAGAGTGAGTTGAGTTTGTATGATCTCCCCCTGTTCTACAGAGTGAGTGGAGTTTGTATGATCTCCCCCTGTAATACAGAGTGAGTGGAGTTTGTATGATCTCCCCCTGTCCTACAGAGTGAGTGGAGTTTGAATGATCTCACCCTGCTCTACAGAGTGAGTGGAGTTTGTATGATCTCCCCCTGTCCTATAGAGTGAGTGAGTGGAGTTTGTATGATCTCCCCCTGTTATACAGAGTGAGTGGAGTTTGTATGATCTCCCCCTGTTCTATAGAGTGAGTGGAGTTTGTATGATCTCCCCCTGTTCTACAGAGTGAGTGGAGTTTGTATGATCTCCCCCTGTAATACAGAGTGAGTGGAGTTTGTATGATCTCCCCCTGTCCTACAGAGTGAGTGGAGTTTGAATGATCTCACCCTGCTCTACAGAGTGAGTGGAGATTGTATGATCTCCCCCTGTCCTATAGAGTGAGTGAGTGGAGTTTGTATGATCTCCCCCTGTTATACAGAGTGAGTGGAGTTTGTATGATCTCCCCCTGTCCTATAGAGTGAGTGGAGTTTGTATGATCTCCCCCTGTTATACAGAGTGAGTGGAGTTTGTATGATCTCCCCCTGTCCTACAGAGTGAGTGGAGTTTGTATGATCTCCCCCTGTTCTACAGAGTGAGTGGAGTTTGTATGATCTCCCCCTGTCCTACAGAGTGAGTGGAGCTTGTATTACAAACTTTAGTCACTGATAATTATTACAAACTTTAGTCACTGATAATTATTACAAACTTCAGTCACAGCTAATTACTACAACCTTTAGTCACTGATAATTATTCAATTTTGGCGTTCACGCAGCAACAGCAGCAGCAAGCGTCGGCCACTACCCGCGACAAATCGGCACGACCCTCATGCCCAAGGAGCCGTGCGACTCGGTGAGACTTCGCTGGGTCAGCAGACCTACCGTAATTATCGGAAAAATATTATATTTATAATATAACAATAAAACAGGCCAGTGGTCAGCACGTGCGTGCCTCTGACGAAGCGTACGCGTTCGACTCCCGATGCCGGTGTTTGCAAATGCTCATTTTGGCATCGTCTATCGGGATGTTAATAAGTTGGGTGGAGCGGTGGCGCGGTGCTTAGCGCACTGAGTTATGTTTGTTAAACTTCTTTCGGCGCCGTACGTAGCCAACCGTGCTAAAAGCTGCGGGTCTCTATGGGCCTGGGTGTCTGTGGGTCTCTCTGTATGCACGTGTGTTGAACGTATAGAAGTGTGCATAGTGTAGTGTATGGTAGTTTGTGTGTATGTTGAATATCCTTGGCTCCCTACGTGTCCAACCGTGCTAATCGGAGGTGCGGGGGAATGGCTACAAACTAAACACAACAATAACTACACACAGAGACCCACAGAGACCCACAACGACCCAGAGACCCACAACGACCCATAGAGACCCACAAAGACCCATAGAGACCCACAAACACCCATAGAGACCCATACTCGTACGAATGTACGTATGTTGAACTTCTTCCGCACGTTAGGCAGCCCAAGCGAGCTCATCGGAGGCGCGGTGTGGGAAGGACAACGAACAGCACACAATAACAAGCAGTTCTGGAGCAATGAGTTTGTCAATCTCGAGACGTGAGTTTTATCACGTGTCTCTCTGACCCCGTGATCACGTGGATCTTTCTCTCCGGGTCCTCCTACGCGTCCCCAGACGTCACCACGTGTTTAGAGACTGCTGCTATGAATCCGATGGCCAAACGGATTAGAGAAAAAAAAATCACGCCCCAGCCGTGGAGTAATCCATCGCGAGTACAGGGCACATAATATAGGTTTTGTTTTGGTGAGATCGCGTAAACATGAATGTATCGTTCAACCACCCACCCACCACCCACCACCCACCACCACCCACCACCACCACCACCAACCACCACCAACCACCACCCACCACCACCCACCACCACCACCCACCACCACCAACCACCACCACCCACCACCACCACCCACCCACCACCACCACCCACCACCACCAACCACCACCCACCACCACCACCACCAACCACCACCCACCACCACCACCCACCACCCACCACCACCAACTACCACCCACCACCACCCACCACCACCCACCCACCACCACCACCCACCATCACGGTGGTGTGTGGGTGGAGAATAAACCCACAATACTCGATTTGTAAATGCCGTAGAGGGTTTACTCTCCAACACACAACTGGTTAGTGCTGTGCTAGTACACTACACTATACACTACACACTATACACTACATTATACACTACACTATACACTACATTATACACTACACTATACACTACACTATACACTACACTATACACTACACTATACATTTCACTATACACTACACTATACACTACACTATACACTACACTATAATTGCAAATGTTGTAGTGGGTTTACTCTCCAACACACAACCTGTTAGTGCTGAACTAGTACACTACACTATACACTATACACGACTCTATACACTACACTATACACTACACACGACACTATACACTACACTATATACTACACTAAACACTACACTATACATTACACTATACACTACTATACATTACACTATGCACTACACTATATACTACACTATACACTACACTATACACGACTATACACTACACTATACACTACACTATACACGACACTATACACTACAATATACACTATACACTACACTATACACTACACCATACACTACACTACACTATACACTACACTATACACACTACACTATACAATACACTACTATACACTACACTACTATACACTACACTATACACTACACTATACAATACACTACTATACACTATACACTACACTACACACTACTATACACTACACTATACACTACACTATACACTACACTACTATACACTACACTATACACTACACTACACACTACACTACACACTACACCACACACTACACTATACACTACTATACACTACACTACACTATACACTACACTATACACTACACTATACACTAAACTATGATTGTAAATCATGGGACCTCCTTTGCCAGTACCAAAATATGAGAATGAGTTTTTGTTTGTTGGCATGTTGACCACAAGTATTGTGTGAACTAGTATACTACACCACAATTATTGTGTGAACTAGTATACTACACCACAAGTATTGTGTGAACTAGTATACTACACCACAAGTATTGTGTGAACTAGTATACTACACCACAAGTATTGTGTGAACTAGTATACTACACCACAAGTATTGTGTGAACTAGTATACTACACCACAAGTATTGTGTGAACTAGTATACTACACCACAAGTATTGTGTGAACTAGTATACTACACCACAAGTATTGTGTGAACTAGTATACTACACCACAAGTATTGTGTGAACTAGTATACTACACCACAAGTATTGTGTGAACTAGTATACTACACCACAAGTATTGTGTGAACTAGTATACTACACCACAAGTATTGTGTGAACTAGTATACTACACCACAAGTATTGTGTGAACTAGTATACTACACCACAAGTATTGTGTGAACTAGTATACTACACCACAAGTATTGTGTGAACTAGTATACTACA